TTATATATTACAACCATATTGAATAATATACAAGAATTGAATAAATATACAAGAAGATAAATGGAAAAAAATGATTTTTGTTTGGTTTTTTTAAGGGTTTTAATCTAATTACTAAAAAGGAAAAATAATTAATTAAAGATAAATAAAATTAAATCTAAATTAATTAAGAAAAGAAATTAGGTTAAAAAGAATTTTTTTAGAGTTTTTTGTGAAAGGTTTTAAGTTTAATAAAATGAACAAGAAAATTAATTAATTATAAAAAAAACCTAAATTCCAAATTAATTTTAGATAAAAGAGAAAAAATAATAAATAAACTTAAATCTAAATATTAATTTACTAAGAAAAAGAAATTAATTTATTAAGAAAATGTTTTTGTCCTTTTTGTTTTATAAAGAAAATAAACACATAAATATAAAAATAATAAATAAAAATATTTTGGGATTTTTTATTAATAAAAATAATAATAATAATAATAACAATAATAATAATAGTAATAAAAATAATAAAGAGAAATAAAATATAATATAAAATATAAAAGAAAAAGAATTAAATAAAAATAAAAAAAGGTTTGGGTCAGGTGTGCAAAAGTAACTGGAAGGGTGAGAAGTTAGCAAAAAAAACAAAGGCCCAACAGCTTGAAGGCCCATGCGTCTGTTTGACAAAAAAGGGGGAAATGTTGAAAAATTTAACAAAAGGTAGCGCTGGGACTTGAACCCCTGACCCTCAGCATACACGCGCGCTACCTTTGCCACTGGGGTGGCTGTACATCCGGTAACATAAACAAAATAATAAATATATAACACAAGTCAAGTCATGAAGATGACTTCATCTTCAACCTCCAGCCTGAACATCTGCAGCTTCACCATTTCTCATCCATTTGCAAAAATGTAAACATCAAACTTGTTTCAAATTTCACAACGATTCCAGAAATGTAAATTATTAAAACTATAAATCAAAGATGAGCATGAATTTTGAACGGTACCAAATTCTGACCTAATTTTTTCAGAAGGTTCAAACTTAAAATTCTCACTACTCAAGCAATATAAATGAAATCTATGGACATGTATAGTTTCAGGGCAATGATGTCTATATTTTATCTTCACAAATGCAAACCTAACAATGCCTAAATGAAAAGATAGAAGTTCAGAAAATGTACCTCAAAACTGGAAATTTTGAAATGCAAATGAGCTTGATTCAAGGTGCTGCAATGATTAGGTTAGCTTCCTCAAGTTCCCAGGAAGCTAATGCAATGCTTACTTGATGCTGGGAGTGTTTAAATCGTTCTAGAGAAGTCAAGGTGCAAGCTCTGCTTTTTGGTTATGGAAGTTAATGAAGATGATGTTATAGTCGTGTAACAGGGTGAGGGATTGTTTGTAGATGATGTTTAGGAACTTTTGGAAGTGAAAAGCCAAGGAACGCACGAGTGAATTTTGAGTTTGGAGTTTTTGGTCAGAATGTGCAACAATGGAGGTTTGTTATGCAGTTCTGAGTTTTTGAGAGTTTGAGGGCTTGTGCATCCATGTCTTGGCTTGCAATAGACTTTGCATATTTATGGAAAAGTTTGGAGATCAAATGTACTCAAGATTTATGAGTTTTATCCTTTTGGCTCTATAAGTTGCTTTTGAAGAAAAGTGAGAAGACAAATCTCAAAGTATTGTACAAGCATGTTCTAAGTTGAAAGAGGCCTTATACATATTACTTTTGGTTTATAGGGGTTGTGTGTGAAGAAAGAACAAGTGAAAGGCTCAAGAAGTTTACAATTGCAAAAGTGATGCTTTATCAAAATGGAAATGGCAACTTTGTGCCATAAATGGAAAATCATTTTGAACAAAGCTTAAATCAGATGGATAAGGGCCTAAAGAGTTGTGTAAACCATTAATTATGGAGTGAAAACAAGTTTGAGGCCTGTAAAGCAAATATTATGCAGCCTAGCATGGATTTGGTTCATGCTCATCCTAAAAATCTGCCTTGTAAAATAAGAATGGAACCCTAACTTTTTGCCTTCGATTCTCCTTGCTCAAGTATGATCTCAATAAATTCTTAGACATTTTGAAAAACTTGTAACATCCTCCACAACCTCTTTGTTGTACATTTTCGAATATTCATCTTGGAACTATGTGAAAAATTTCCATGAAGTTAGGTCAAAATCCTGCCTAAACTAGGGCAAAATTTCACTATGTTTTCAAGTTTCACGAATATGTCTTCACAAAATTATAACTTAAAATATAAGCATTTATAGAAAAAGTTATGTTCTACAATGTTTTAGATCTCATTGAGATCTACAACTTTCATGTTGGAAATTTCCTTTGAATCATCTTGCATCATGGTGTAAATTTTGCTCAAAGTTATGAAAAAACATGAATTTCCAACACTTAGAAAAAATTCTAAGTTTAGAAATTTTGACTTTTCAAAATGAAATCTTGACTTTTTGATTTCATAATGAACAAGTTTCATATTTTTACATGATTTGATGAATTGTAATCTTTGAAACTTGATTTTGATCAAAAGTCAAAGTTTGACTTTTCAGTATACAGTTGACTTTTCATCAGTTGACTGAAATCAACTATCAATCAATTGATCTTGAGAAATGTTTTGAGCCATTCTAATAGGTAAAAATAATGCATTTGAATCCTTGAGATCATGCCTTGAACCAACAAGTCAATTGCTAGGTCAAAAATAAAAAATGGCACCTTCTTAGTCAAAACCCTAATTTTGACCATTTTACCCTTTTGATGATCTGATCAAATTTCTTGAGAAATTGTGATTAAAACTTGATCAAATGACATATATGAGTTCATGATGTTGATATGGATCAAAAATTATGAAGTTTGACTGTAAATTGACCACAGTTGACTTTTTCCCCAATATAGCTGATTTTAGGTCATTTGATCAATTGACTGAGCAAAAATGTGATCCAAGACTTGAAAATTGACATGAGCAACCTTGAGGGTCCAAAATGATCCATGAAAGTCATATGGGGAATTAAAAGTCCATTTGTCCTTGTGCAAACTCAAACCCTAATTTTCAGTCATTAGTGCTAGAGGAGGTGTCTTAAGTTGATCAAACCTTGTGTAGTCCTGAACCAATGGAGATCTTGTGAGAGATTACTTGAGAAATGAGAGAGAAAATTTTGGGGTACAACAATATTCTTTTCCTATTTTCTTTTTTCTTGCTATTTAATTTTCATAGAAAATTGTATAGGTTGCATTCTTTAATTGTAATAGCGTAAATTTCTTTTCTCGAATTTTTTAATTGTAATAGCGTAAATTTCTTTTCTCGATTTTTTTTTTTTCTAATTATGTAACTGTTCACAGGATGTAATAGCGTAGGTTTACTTTCTCACGAATTTTTATATTTATGTACCTCTCCCAAAGCCATGTAATAGCTTAAGACTTTACATTCCACACTTTATTCTTTTGTACATATTTAACTACTAGTAACTAGGATTTGCATGGCAAGACTAAAAATAATCTAGAAAACTCTAATAGTCAAGATAAATAACTGAATCAATAAACTTCGCACACGTGCACCTCTAGGATAACCTCTCTTGTTGCCTTTTGATATTAGTCACGTTCCTCGAAAGTGGGGATACTTTAGCAAAAGACTCTCGATCAAATCATCATGTCTCTTTCGAATAAAGATCATAATCCCTCGATGACCCTTCGAGCAGTCTACAAAATGATCTAGTCCCTTCGTGTTGTCTACAAAATGATGATAGTTCCTTCGATACAATTGCTAAAGTATCCTTACTTGTTGCCTTCGATGACCATGCGATGACCCTACGCATGTTTCTTCACATCCAATAGATGGGACTACCTACCAACTAATGGTATGGATAGTACTATCTCTAAAGGAGAAGGAAAAGAATAAGAAAGACTTTAGTAGGTAAGAAACTCTTAATTGCTTGTTCACAACTTTTCTCAAAAAAAAATTTCACACTACACTTTCAAACAAATATTTTCAAAAATAACATTTTGTATACATTCTTGAATACTAATACAAGAATTATTACAAAGTCAGTCTTACATTGGCGATTTCAAAATATTTTCAAACAAATCACACACAAAAAGCAAGATTTTGAAAAGTGGACTAAGCAATTACAAACCCGTAGATAACTATTGATGAAAATAATGCTAACACCTTCCCTTTTCATAACTTACCCCCGAACTCAAAATCTATCAAATGTCTTTCCTGTTCTTTTCATCTTTCCTAAATATTAGATAAAAGAAAAGTCGATAGCGACTCTAACTATCCACACATTTGGATAAAACTAAAAAGTCAATTCTCCCGCCATATTAGAGCAACCAATGGACAACCTATAAGACCCGATTGCAACCAATGGACAGTCTATGAGAGGGCAGTGGTACAAGGGACTATGCATTGTTTTGTATACTAACATATGTTTTACGAGTAATACCAAAAAAATCAACAGATGATAAATAAATAAATGAAAAAGCAGCACGTGGTGCTTCACTCAAACGTGAACTTACAATCAACTTGAAACTATGAATGTATTGCACAACCAAATAAGCTTAGTTCTTGATCTGATTAAATAGATATTAACAAACCAACCAACAATCACTCTATGTGCGTATTACAAATATCAACTGCCAAATGGATAAAAGAAGAGATAAATCTACCTATACAACCACACAGTCACTCTCAATGAAAAGCTGAAAGTTAGCTCCATGTTAATCATCTTCCTTTGCCTTGCTTCTTAGCCAATCTCTCTAAGCAGAGAACACAGAAGTCTAGGTTAGATGCATACCAATTACTTGAATTATTTTCTCACCCTCAATCCATGGCCAATATCATTAACGACTATTGCCAGAACCTCGGTTACAATCTTATAATCAATTGGAGAAAAACCGACAAAGAACCTCGGTTACAATCTTATAATCAATTGGAGAAAAACCGACAAAGGTAAAATAAAGATAACAGAGGGCGTAACAATTATGATAAAAAATCCACTCCTTGGCGCCTCTGCAATAGACTTACTATCACTGGGTGCTGCGTGTTAATCCTCCTCGTGTCATGTTTCTGTGCAAAGGTATGATTCCATATCAGTTGAGTTGGGAAAAACAGAAACGTGAATAATTAGACGACATAAGCAAAAGGCAGTAATATACTTGAAATTTCAATATTAAATCAGCAAAAATGCTTCAAATTCATAAATTTCACATCCTCAATCCTTTATTGTTTTGTTTCATGAATCTTTCTGTGTCCTAGTTGAACTAGTTATGAAGACAATTAATGGCACCAACAAATCTTAAAGGCAAATAATACTAAGTTATACCCAGTTTAGCAAACAATACGAATGAAGCACGAACGCCCCGAACATGATATAAACTATTTTCAAGCTTTATGTCTAACCAGTGTGGGACTTAGGATGTTCCTAACAGATGCAAAGAAATATAAAATAAGCCATACAAATGATAAAACTTGGCCTATAATCATTCAAAATGCAACTCCCGTGATTTTGTCTTACAATACAAATGCAAAAATGCATACAAATGCAACTCCTGTAAACTAAATCGGAAAATTGGTATAGTTTATACCCTTGTGCACAAACATGTCAAGAATAATTCCTAGACTCAGAATTATTTACTGAAAAAGCAAGCTATAGTACTCCATTGAATAAAAAGCACAAGAATGTGACCCAAAAAGGGAGGAGAAAAAAGTACCTCCCAGAAACAAGCTGTTGCTGAGCACTGTTCATAGAGCTCTTCACATTGCTGAAACGTTTGGCTTTTGTCTCTTGTTCTTTGTCCACGCGCATTGCAGCTACCTCCTTCTCCATGACAGCTACTTCCCTTCGCATCTTCTTGGCCTCAACTTCCATAGCTTTGGTTAATGTATCCACTTTCTTTGCTAGCATCTGACAGATAATGATCATTTTGCAACAATTAGCTAAGATTGCATTGGTCAATAAGAAATCTAAGATTAAAATCAAAAACAGGTTAAAAAAATTACTTACCTCAATGGCATCGTCTTTATCTTTTAGGATTTGATCTTTTTCATTACCAGCTTTCCTCAACACTATGACCTCTTTCTGCAGAAAATCATACAAAACTCCTGGAACGGTATCCTCTGCATCTACTAATGGGAAGTCATTAGGCTTATCATCCAAACTTCCTTTCCAATTATTGTTTTCCTCCTTGTCTTTGGTTCTTTCAGAAGACTGGTTAAACGATGAACTTGGAGGCTTTCCATTTAGAAGAATTTTACTCCTTTCTAGCGACCTAGAACCACCATCAAAAGACTTAGATGCACCTTTAGCGTTCTTCAAAATTGTGCTGGAGGACACAGAGGACCTTATTTGAAAGGATGATGTTCTCTTAGTCAAAAACCCATTAGAATTCAGTTTGGATACATTATCAGCTCCACCAAGAGATAGTCGTCGGGAAGGCCCATTGCTAGTAGAAGGCCCATTGCTAACACATTTTCCCTCTGAAGTGCCGCGATTAATACTGTTAGAAGTTTCTCTCAAACTCTCTTGTAGCACTTTAAGCCGTAATTGATATTTTTCCTGAAAATTGTAAAAGGTTTACCTTGAGTAATGGAATAACTTATCTCCTAAGTTAATACATTCAGGCTGTAAGACCAGATTATTACTTTTAACTGTGCTTCATACTTTGCAGTGCGGTCAGCTGTAGCAAGCTTTTCCCGAAGTTGCTGCATCTCTCCCTGTAAGAACGTAGTTTAATAAAATATGGAAACTGTTAAAATTAAGAAGTTTTCATTTACACTTAAAGAAAGAGCAACAAAGGACTAAGAAATTAAAAGTTATCCACCTGTAAGAATCGTCGCTCTTCAAGCCATTGTTTGACAGGCATCACTTTGTCATTAGCATCTTTCCATTCATTTGCCACTACTGTAGCTACTCTGTTAGCTGTTACCTTGGCACGAGCCAACTCCCGATCGAGAGTCTTTCTCTCTTCCTAGAGTGTAAAACAACCCATGCAAAAACTCTTAACTAGAAGCTAGAAAAGAATAGAGTAAAGCAACTGGAAAAGTAAACTATGCAAATTTAACAAGTTACATTCATTTCTTGAAATTTTCGTTGATAATCTCTCACAGCATTTGCAGCTGCACCCCCTGCAAGGACAGCCTCTTCTAGTTCTCTCACAGTTTGTGTCAGCTTTTCAACCTCTGCCACCTTTAGTCTAAGCATTTTGTCCAAAATTTTGTTTTCTTCCTGAGAGAGGTGATGGGGATACCAAGTACAAAAATGTTATATCATTATGGTAACAGCTTACTCTGTATCTTTAAAGAGAAACATACAAGATTGCAAATACCTGGCAAATCTCAATCTGTTTCATTAGCTCTTGATTTTTATTTTGGAGATCATCCACCATGGAGGCCTTAGCCAAGGCAACCTGAACGGTCCTTTCAGCTTCAAGAAGAGCTGCTTCTTTAGATTTCGTAAGACGATCTAAGGCTCTGTTATCATCTTGAAGTTTAGCAATCTGCAAGAAACAAACCAGATAAAATAAGGACATGAATCACCTATGTCAAGCCAGCCTCATTCCCCTTTAACCGGTATTTTCACATAGAAATTACCATCCAAAGTAGAAAAACAAGGCAATAGATACCTCTTGCCGAGCAAGCTTGAGTTCAGCCTCTAAAGGGGCTAGAATGGCTTCTATAGGAGGCATGTCATCATCCTTCTGAGCAGCATGGACCCTTCGGAGAGTAGCTTCAGCTGCAAACTGAGCTGCCATCGATGCTTTTTTTTCATCATTGATTTTCTTTATTTCAAGATTCTGCAAGAAATACTCGGTTGAGTAAACATATCACAGCATGAAAAAAATTACTCATCCCCAAGATTGATAAAGGCTCCAAGGCATACTTTGCTTTCTAGAAGATTTTCTGTTAACTTCAGCTTTCCATCAACCTTAGACAATTCTTCAGTAAGCTACAGTACAGGCAAAAAAACAAAAAAAGTTAATTTTTAGGCTAACAAATAGTATTACTTGACTCATTAACTAGCTGCAGTAACATGGATAGAAATGGGTTTACTTTGGACCATTATTACAATGATTGTTTGTTAAAGAAATTTCTATTAGAGAGAGAGATGCTCTCTCCTCTCTAGAAAACTTTCCCCCAATCTTCTAGGATTTGGAAGCTTCTTCCCACCTCCATGGTGGCTCTCTCCTTCCACCTCTATGGTGGCTACATCTCTCTTTTGAGAGCATTTTCCTCTCCGTCCATCTTCTTTCTCAAGTCTTCACCATAACAAAGCTTCTCACCGGAATATTCCCCTCTCCACCACTACCAACCGTCAAAATTCCTTTTCTTCTTTTGCAGCCGCCACCGGAGCTTCCACCATCAAGAAATGATAAGGTAGTTGTGATATTTCTGCACATCTCAAACGCAACAATGGCAAAGGAACCTCTTTCTCCGGTAGTTGCTCCTACAACTCTTCCCGGAAGTTTTCGTCCACCACCGAAGCCGCCATGATTATATAGTATAAAATTTTTAACAGAGATGTTTAATTTCATTTTCTTAATTTCTCCTTTGTGTTTTTGTGTTTTTGTGTTTTAGTGATAAATGATGCACTCTTGGTGTTTGAGAAAATGCCTCAAAGGAGTTTTGTGTCTTTTAGCATGATTTTGTGTGTCTTTGGGCATTTCATAGTGATTGAGGAAGTTTATGAGTTCAACATCCATTTCATAACTATCTATAGTCATCTATTAATTTGTGAACACTCAAAAAGGTTGGACAATTTTGAGACTAAAAGAAGTCGAAATGTGCAAACGCAAGTCAAACAAATCATCCTTAATTGGATTTGGATAAAGACTATGGATTCTCACTTCCACGTTGCCATTGTTGGTGTTTGCAAGAGAGTGGATTGTTGGATGAAATGTTATTGCTTTTGGTATGGTTGTAACTTAGCTTTTGAAATTTCTATGTATAATGTCTCTTATGTCTTTCTAGTGTTTTCTTATGTCTTTCTAGTGTTTTCTCTTAGAAGTGCTTCTAGACTTTGTATGAATATATTCCATTTCAATTGCCTCGTAACATTTGTAATTCTCGCTTGTTTGTATATTAATGAAGATGCATTTTCTATAAAAAAAAACATGGATAGAAATGATTATGCATCTATACAGCTCTGAGACATCATGATTTCAAAATAATGACTACGCACAAATAGTTATTGAGAAACAAATCATTTCAACAATTAAGGTTAAAAATACAAATCCAGCAAATAATTCCACTTTCAAGTTTCACCCTCTAATTCAGCCAAAACATCATGATTTCAAAATAATGACTAAACACAAAAAAATCATTAGGAAACAAATCATTCCAACAATTAAGTTTAAAAATACAAATCCATCAAATAAATCCACTTTCATCCCCTGATTCAGCCAAAACATAATTGCTACGCACATACATGATACAAAAACAAATCAAAATGGAATAACGACTCTAGAAGAAAATTCAAATCAATATCATCATCAAGATGTACACACTAAGCACATACATCTAAATAATGCTATGAAGAAACGAATAAAAGCATTTTCTCTGGACAAGTAGTAAATAATTGAAAATTATCCAGAGCAAAATTAAAAACCAAAAAGCCTCCAAAATTAGTAAGAATCAAAGTTTGCATAATCCTAAAAATAACCACAATGATAACTTTGAAAATTCAAAACTAATTGAACACAACGAAACGCAAAATCAGAATCAACCTCTTCAACGGCTTTTTCTCTCAGTCGTTCAGTGTGTTTCAACGCTTTGATCTCCGCCTGAGCTTCTGATAATTCCCTATCCTTATCTGAAAGACACAGAGAAACACTAGAATCAAAAAACACTAAACGAAATCAAGTCAAAAACTAGTCAGATCGAACTACATTCTCACACCTCTAACATCATTCTCAAGCCGATTAAGCTCCAATTTCACTGGATCCGAACCGTGAAGTAAGTTCATGAACTCATCCGCATCCAAACTAGGCCTCATGGAATGCTGACGTCTCCTCGACGAGTTCTTCCCTTCTTTAAACGATCCGGAAACCGTCAACGGCGTCGGCGTCACAACCGTCGCCTCCATTCCTACGTCACCGGAAAATTCCGCCATAGCCGATCTAAAAAACTCACACGCACATCCAATTGCTCTTAACTTCTAGAGTCTTCTCAATGCAGAGAGAGAGAAAATGCAGTTGTGAGAATGATGAAGGAGAAGTTAGTTTTAGAGAGAGAAAGTTGGAGATAGATAGTTTCATAGTTTATGAATGTTTCTCTCTCTAGAGTATGAATTTAAACCCAGTTTTGTTTTTTTTGAGAGTGAGTGATTAAGATTAAAGAAAAGTGATTAATTAATGAGTGAATGAATGGCTTAGTTAGTTGTTAAGCAGACCAAAACTGTGTGACAGAGAAAGATAGTAAACTATTGATTGATTATCAGTTTAACATGGGTTTTTATGATTTAAACAATTGTAGCGTAATGCGCACTCCATGCAATGTGTTGTTTACGATATGGAAGTATCGTGAGCAGGTCGGCGTAGGATAGTGATGGTGCTTTCTTAGAGAAGTGGAATGAATTAGGTGGTGAAAGAATTTGGATGGCCCCTAACCTTAACACAAATCAAATGAAAATGAAGTTATTATAAGCTCAAATTTTAAGCCAATAAAAGAATTAAAAAATGTTCTCAACTATTCGTCTTAAATCTAACATCGATTAGAGATAGTAAAAATATTAAATGTTTTCAATTTAGGTTATGTTTGTATATCATGAAATAAACGGAGTGGAATGAAACGGAATGAAATAGGATGGTGCGAAATGGAGCGGAACGGAACAAGAATATCATTCTATTGTTTGGAAATTTTAGGACGGAACAAGTTAAGTTGTTCATTCCGCCCAAATCGAAGGGGAAGGAATATGGTGGTAAGTAATGGAATGGAATGGAATTCATACCATTCAATTCCGCTCCACACCATCCACTTTTAAATTATCCAAACAATGGAATATCATTTTATTCCATTTCATTCCGCTCCGCTCCATCTGATTCCGTCAATCCAAACAAAGCCTTAAAGAGATGTTTTGGAGTCGACCTCAGCCATATATATGCAGTAGTATTACATTTTTTGAAGGAGAATTTTGATATATATTTGTTGAAATATTTGATATAATATTAGATATGATCCAAGTTGTGTAATTTAAGCATAAACTTAATTAGGGTTTGTTAGCCTATTTAGTGTACAAGTTAGTTGTATATAAGTAGACTAGTTTATAAATCAGTTTGTAACAATTCAATTCAATAATAAAATCTTTATTTCCTTATTCTCTCTTTTTCTCCCCTCATTGAAAGTTTCTCATGCACTAACAAATTAGTATCTAGAGTTCTGGTTAGATTATTGATCGTGTTTACAAGAATCACACGTCAAAGATCATATTTTCGAGATTGTAGGTCTTTCACTAGTAGTCGCTGCAAAGGTGAATGATAACAATAGCATTCTGAATTCTCTTCCAACTCTTGACGGTAAGAATTGGATTCGATGGAGAAAAAAGATGCAATCTATGTTTGGCTTTCATGAAACCCTAGAAGTGGTTACTAATAGTGTTTTTGCACTAGCTGCGGATGCAATTGATGCATAGAAAATGACCCACAACGAAGCCAAGAAGAAGGATTGCAAGGTTGCGTATTGCATTCAAACGGCGGTCGATACGAAAAACTTTGACAGGATCTCTCATTCTGAATCGGAGAATGAGGCATGGGATATTCTTGTCAAATACTATGAAGGAGGTGAGAAAGTCGAGGTTGTCAAGTTGTCGATCTTGCATCGACAATATGAATTTTTGTCGATAGGAGAAGACTAAAAGATTGTGGATTATGTGTCAAAGGTGTAGAAACTCGTCCATCTCATGAAGGGTTATGGTGAAACCCTAACTAATAAGATTATAGTTGAGAAGGTAATTCGCATGTTGACCTCACACTTTGATCACATTGTCGTAGCTATTCAAGAATTCAATCAGCTTGAAACCCTAAAACTAGAAGATTTGGTTGGTTCATTGGAATTGCATGAGATTATGATTGTCGAAAGGAAATGAGTTTAAGAATTGATACAAGCTCTATAGGATCAGTCATGGAAAAAGAATGGTGGTTCCAACAAATTCAAAGGCAAGTTCGACAAGACTCGGGGCAAGAAGTCTTGGTTGAATCCCCACAAGAATAAGGTTGATGATAGGGCTTATGAATCCTCAAAAAGAGTAGGAGGAAACTATTAAAAGGACAAAGAAGATAAAAAAGTGTGCAGTTCTACAACTGTGAAAAGTGGGGTCACTTTTCCAAGAATTGTTGGTACAGGAAAGACAGGGGATCGACATGCAAGGACAAAGGAGCGAACCTTGCACGCCAAGATTCAGATGATTCTGGAGGTATGGTGTTTATGGATGCAGTTGCAGATAACCATGTCAAATCCAAGATTTGGTTCCTCGACTCAGGATGATCGAATCACATGACTGGTCAAAAGGTGTGGTGGGAAGATTTCGACGAGTCGAAGAAGAGTAAGGTAAAACTATGTTGATAATAGTTTGTTGCAAGCAGAAGGTACTGGAAAAATAGTTTTTCAAATGAGTAATAGAGGAAAAGTTATGATCAAAGATGTACTCTATGTACCTGGAATGAAGTGAAACCTATTAAGTGTTGGACAACTGGTCGAAAAAGGTTTCTCAGTTGTCATAAAAGATGGAGCTTTAAAATTATTCAACACCCAAAATAATTTGGTCTTAAAATCTCTACTATTGAAGAATAGGACGTTTAAGACCTTGATTAGTTCAACTAAAGTGAAATGTCTAAAAATTATTATCGACTACAAGGATAGTTGGTAGTGGTATTTGAGGTTTGAACATTTGAACTTTCGATCACTGAATCAGGTTATTAATCAAGATATGGTAACTGGTATCCCAAGTCTCGAGATGCCTAACAAACTCTGTGAAAGTTGTTTAATCGGAAAATGATCGTAAAAATAGCAAGTGTACTATTTTTCCTCTTGTAATAACACGGAAAATTCCTCGAATGTCGATCTCAAGGACTGCACAGAATTACCGAGTTTAATACGAAGTTCAATTAAACAAAACTCGATTTGGGGTTTTGTTTGGTTATTATACTTAACAATAATTAAAAATATGCAGAAGGTAAAATATTTTTTTTCTAGTATGAATGTTATGCTTGGGGTGAGTGTGTGGTTTGCCCTGTAATGAACTTCATTATTGATCTTGTCTACAAGTTCATTACCTTCAACTACGGACCCTTTAGATATTTTCCCATAATTTATTAGTGAAAAAACCTTTAACCATTCATCCTAAATCCTAATTCCTTAGAAATATCTGATGGAGTCAAGCCTTTATCTTATCAAGGGTTAAATCAGGTGACTATGTACAGCCACCCCAGTGGTAAAGGCAGCGCGCATTTATCTCAAGGTCATGGGTTCAAGTCCCAGCGCTACCTTTTATTTAATTTTTCAACATTTTCCTTCTTTTTGCCAGCAATAACCGCGCTTGGGCCTCCTTGGCTGGGCCTAGAAGACTTACTCCATTTTCACCCCCCTGCCTGCTTTCACATACCTGGCCGAAACTCTTTTATCATTTTAATTTAATTTATTTTCTTTTTCTTATTTTATTTTATTTCAGTTTCTTTATCATTTTTTATTACTATTATTATTAATTTTTTTTATTAAAAATCCAAAATATTTTTATTTATTATTTTCACACTTATTTATTTCCTTTATAAAGACAAAAGACAAAAACATTTTCTTAATAAATTTGATTTCTTTTTCTTAATAAATAATTAGATTTAGGTTTAACTATTATTCTTTTTTTATTTAAAATTAATTTAGAACTTAAGTTTATTTTAATTAATTAATTTTCATATTATTTTTATTAACTTAAAACCTTTCATAAAAAAACCTAAAAATGTTTTCTAACTTATTTTCTTTTCTTAATTAGTTTAGGTTTAATTTTATTTAATTTTAATTAATCATTTTCTTAATTAGGTCAAAACTTAACCCTTTCATAAAAACCAAACAAAAATCATTTCTTTTCCATTTATCTTCTTGTACATTATATTTTCAATTATTGTATATTATTCAATATGGTTGTAATAGATAACTAGGTTTAATTTCCTTGTAATCCTCATTTGTAAATTTGTATACCCCTCTTCCCTAATGATGTAATAGCATAGTAATTTTACTTTCCGCAATTTATCGCTTTCATATAAATGTTAGTAATTAGGGTTTGTATGGTACGACTAAAATCAACAATTAGTAAACCCTAATCAAAGATAACAATGCATGCAAATCAAACACATCATTCACACATGCACCCTTAGGGTAATTCCACTTGTTGCCTTACAAAAATGGTCATGTTATGCATGTGGGATATCTTAGCAAAAACAAATTAAAAATACAAGATCATAGTCCCTCGATAACGCTACAAATGTTGCCTTTCAAAATGATCTTAGTCCCTCAAAGAGAAATGCTAAGATATCTCACAACATTGCTATCATGACTATAGGATGACCCACGCCTGTTCCTTTACATCCAAAGATAAGGCTTATTACCAAATCAATGGTAAGATAGCAATATCAAAGGAAGGAAGAAATGAACAAAGACTTTTGAGTAGGTAGATTGTTCCTAGTTGCTTGCTCACTTTCAAAACAAACACTAAACACTTTCAAAACAAACACTTTCAAAACATTTTTCAAACATGAAATATTTTCAAAAGTCCAACACTTTGTATATGTTCTTATGAACGAGAAATATTGCAAAGTTTGCCTAAACGAAGGCGCCTTTTCAAAATGCTTTCAAAACCACCACAAAGCACATTTTCAAACAAAAGCAAGTGATCTAGCAAGCAACTAAGAGCCTATAGATAACCATGGATGAAAAGGGTTCTAACACCTTCCCTTTTCATAATCTACCCCCCGAACTCAAGAAATAATCTCAAAGGTATTTCCTGTTCTTTTTAGTCTTTCCTTTTAAATAAAAGAAAAGTCGGTGGCGACTCTTTCTAACTGCAACATTTGCGATAAAAAGAAAAACATCCTAAGTCAGTTCTCCCACTGTATCACATTAGGCTTT